ACACACACACATATTTTTTTAAGAGGGTATGGAAGCTCCAAGACAGAAACTGGCTTGACTAGAAGTGAAAAATGAAAAATTTTGGAGACTGTATTCCAAAGGAAATTCCTCATTCCCCCCACTAATTTCCAAATGTTACTAGTCAGAAATTATCTTTTTCTTCTTCTTTGCTCAATAAGTATGTAACAATATGGCTTTGGGGAGTTCTTTTACCTTTGTTCACAATCTTTCTCCTCAGAAAATATTCAATACTAACCATTTGCTTAATGTTTTAAGAAAATAAGATTGTATAGCATATATCAAGTACTTCATCATCCCCATAATCATTTCATCTTCTCCCCCTTTCCTGTCTTTACTCATCAATGTGTTTGAATGCTTTTGTAATTGCTGTTGTGTGCTGTCAAGTCAGAACTGACCCATAACTTACCCTCCAGCAGGTTTTCAGAGGCAGTAAATTTCACAGGCGATTACCTATCCTTCTCTTGCAGAGGAGCTGATGGATTTGAACCATGTGCTTTTGGGATTGCAGTGCAGCTTTGTACCACAAAGCCACCAGAGCTCCCTAATAAGGAATAAAGTTCTGAATATTTTAAAATACTCCTTATTAATGCAACCAATGTTATGCCTTTCCTACCCTCCTAAACTGTAGGCTGCCTTAGAGCATTACAAGAAAGTTCTGAATAATGTTTATTGCATTCTACCTCATCTACAAGGCATACATTTTCTATCCTTGTCAGAATAAATAATATTTTTAATTTGACTATCAGATTTCAAAAAGCCTACTTTCTCAATGACAGCTTCCTCTGTTTACCACCATCCATTTCAGCCCAGGGAAAGTAAAATTTCTTTGGAGATTCAATCTACATTACGCAAACTTGTAGTGTAGCATAGCTGTGTGTAGTGTAGCATAGTTGTAGATGGGGTTATTTTGCATTCTTCAAAGCAGGAAATATTTTGTAATATATGTACCTCTAGTGCTTTGCATGATTTATAGAACCTAAGGAAAGTATTTTCAAAGGATGACTAAATTGATAGATCTAATATTTTTTTTAATTGAGAGAAGATAATTAATGCTCCTAAAACATGGTTTGAAATGCTTGCTGCAAAAAGTCAAACACTGTAGTCTTCCTTATGGATTGCATTTCAATATATAGAAAACAAAAATCCTCACCACCACATCAATAGGCATGACAGATGGGGAAAAGGTTGCAACTGTCAATTACTTCATTCTACTTGGATCCACAGTCAATACTCTTGGTACTCACAGTCTGGAAATCAGAAGACGTGTCCCACTGTGAAATTCTACAGTTTGGAACCTCTCCAAATTATTGAGGAGCAGTCATGCTAGTTTGAGGATTAAGGTGTACCTGATTCAGGTTATGGCATTTTCAATCACTTGCTATGCATCTGAGAGCTGAACAATGAGTAAGAATGACAGAAGAACTGAAGTCTTTAAATTATGGTGTTGGGGAAGAATACTGAATATCCCTTGAGCTTCTAAAAGAACAAATAAATATGTATTAGAGAACGTGCAGCCAGAGTGCTTTTTGGAGGCACACACTTCAGGCATGTTGTTAGGAGAGATTATTCTTTGGAGAGGGACATCATGCTAGGAAAGGTAGAGGAATATAAAAGGATATGAAGACCCTCAACCAGATGGATTGGCACGGTGACTGTAGCAATGGGCTTGAGTGTGTCAGAGACGATGAAGATGGCACAGGCTAGAACAGGGTTCAGGTCTGTTGCTCATAAGGTCACTATGAGTCATACTTGACTGCACCTAACAACAACAACAACTATGATAGAGAAGTGGGAATTTGTGTATGTTGTTTAGTCATTATTGTTCCCAGTATAAATTACTTCAACTTGCACCAATTATACTTTCCAAAGTAATAAGCTATAAATTTTTCATTATTATTGACATCATCACTGTAGCTAAGTTTTTTCCTCATATAAGAGACTCTGTCACTTAACTATATTTCATTCTGGGTTATCATTTTTAATTTGTTTTGAGTGGAGCTCTAGTGGTCTAGCCCAAAGGAATATGAATTCTTCAGCAGCTTCATGGAAGAAAGATGTGAACCCTTTACCATCAACTCATTTATGTGAACAAGTTACACATCTAAAACAGTAAACAATGAGAGACTTATGAATACATGAACTGATTAGAAATTAAAGATTCCCTTGTTCTTGCATTTTTACAGTGAATGATGTATCAAATTGCTATGTGATTAAGATACAATTTAATTCCCATTATAATAATGGGAATTAAATTGTATCTTAATCACATAGCAATTTGATACATCATATATCTAGACCAAGAGGTATTGTTTAAAATCAAGAAATTAACTCTTACTTTAAAAATTTTCTGTAATTAATCTCCTCTACAATTATGAGTATATAAGTTAATTATGATGTAACAATGTTGTTTCCTGTACTTTTCCTAAGGAGACATAAGATTCTGAATTTGCATATGCGTGAATTATTTTTAACTGTTGTTAAATCATAATAAAATGGAATATATTTACAGTGGAAAGAAAAGATACAATTTAATGCATTTTAAAAAGTAATGTAAGGTTTCCTTTTTAAAAGATATATTTGAACTATTTAAACACCTTATGAGAGTTCTGGTGGTCTACTGGTAAGGAGTTATGTTGCCAGCTAAAAGACATGTTCAAATTCATCAGCTTCTCTGCAGGAAAAAGATGGCCTATCTCCTCCCATGTGATTTGCAGCCTCTGAAAACCTGGTTTCAAGGTCACATACAACAACCACAACAAACATCCTATGAATATTTTTGGATGTCACTTTCATAAAGTGTGTAGGTTTAGAGAGGTGAACAAACTTGTTTTGAGTTTTGCAATCAGTACTCAATACCATTTGGGGATTCATACATGGCAGGAAGCACTCGTCAATTTTTTTTAACAGTAAAAGTCTAATAGCCTCTCACATCTATCTGTTCACTAGCACAAATATGATTATGTAGTATTTCACAGGACAAATCTGTTCTTCAACATGAAAGATATTTAAACAAAACCTCAACTAACACATTAAGCACTGTGGAATGAATGGCTAACAGGCCAGACTCAAGATTAGACACTTATTTGACTTTTGGAAAGGAACACTCTCTCAGAGTCTTCATTTTCTTATCTGTAAAATGAGAATATTAATTGCATTTTACTGATAATGTTGTTGTGAAGACTAAATAAGTGGGTGTGGATTTTTCTCAGCACTTCTAAGAAATGCTGGGATCATTCTTACCAATTTTCAGTCTTCTTATGTATAGAGTCTCTGGGTTTTTAATTTCTCAGGTCTTCCAGATATTTCTCCCACCTTGGCCTCTCATCTATGCACTTACTTTATTTTGTTACTGTCCTTAAATTGTGGCTTCCAGAACATAGCAAAGTTCTCTAAGTCTGATATTCCATCATAAGCTAATCATAGTCATTTAGATTGGTTGTAAATAATGACTATCATTTTTTAAAGAAGAGTAGATAAGGTTGCCACTCTATAAAGAAGCTGTCTCAAAGTAGTCAAAGACTTTTTAGATTTCACAATTTTGCAATGGAAAGTGATAATAGACAAAACTAAAGAAAAAACCCAATCTCTGTGTAAGGAACTCTCACATACATTATCTCATATAATCCTTACATCACTGCTGGGACAGTTCCAACAGTGTGACCCTGCAACAATCACCTATTATGCTCATTCACAGATGATAAAAAGATTTAGGGAGATGAAATCACATGTTCAGCATAGCCAGTATCAAATAATCCATCTGAGTCCACACTTATGTCTGCATGCCTCGAGTACAGTTGATACTATAGCTTGTAGTTCATACTGCAATGCCCGATACCACTAGATGTTTAGCAGGTAATTCTACTGCTTTGGATAGTGTTCATGCAGCACCTGGAACCAAAAATGACCACAAACCTAAATAGAGTTTCAGAACTAGTTGGAACAAGAGCTTTCCTAATAGTCTTCTTCATAGCTGATAGATATTATCTTGCTTGACACATGGTACAGCATGTCAACTCCTGTTGTGGAGGAGAAGAATGTGACATAGGATTTTTTATGGGAATCCTAAAGTGGAAAACTAGAAGAGACTGACTTTATAAAATGTGTGGACCAGGAAGTATCAGTGTAGGGTGTGGGAATGAGTTTTGACCCCTGAATTAAAAGAAATGGACTATTTCTCCATGATCTTGGAAAAATCCTTTTGTCTCTATGAATGTCTGATTCTTTCATTTGGGAAATAAAAACAAGAATAGCCGCTTAAGACACAGAAATTGGCTAGTACTACATTGACAGTCTCAGCCTGGCTTCACCCAGGTAAATATTTTTTTTTGTTGTTTTTTTATTTTATTATTTTTGTGTGCATGTACCGTCAAATCAGATCTGACTGGTACAGGAGGAGATTGCCCCTCCTTCCCCGGCAGACCATCTGGTGGATTCGAACCATGCGCCTCTGGGATTGTAGTTGCAGCTTTTTGCCACTAAGCCACCAGAGCTCCCCCACCCAGGTAAATATTAAATAAAAGCTCATTTGCTATAAAAAACCCCCACCCCAACAAACACAGAAAACCCACAGAAATTCCATTTAAAGCAAAGAGGATTTCTTTAAAAATCTACATGAAACAATAAAGATT